CAGCCTCCCCAATTCCCCTACAAACCACAACCCGGAGTCAGAGTTCAGGCAGAAGGGTGAAAACACACAAGGCCCATTCGCCTTCTGAGACTGCAGCAAGGCAATAAAACAAGAGGATGTGAGTGGTCGATTATCTCTTTGTACAGTGCAGGCCGGGGCTTTTGGCGTGCTGCCAACGCGGCGGCACATCCCGCAACGCTCTCGCATCGCTCCTGCGGGCTCGACTCTCGTCCCTGACGTCAGCTGGATGCGGGACACCTCACCTGAGCTTTGAGATCCCGCCGAGTCAGGACGTCGAAGTGCAAGGCCGTGAAGCGCTTCTCCAGCTTCTCGCAGTCCACGTCGGAGCCGACTCGAGTCGACAGACCCGAGTCTCTACTGAAGTTGACGTTGTTGAGGATCAGGCAGCATCCACATGGGTCCGCTTTCAGCTCATAAACCTGGCAGGCACACACCACAATTAAACACCCTCTGATTCGGAGCGCTCGCTGGCTACTCCAGCAGGACGCGATGCCAAGGAGGAACAGGCATCCTTAGAGCAGCTCGTTTCACGGCTGTTTCGTTTCTCCAGACCTAAGGCCGGACAAGAGCATCGGGGAGTGTCTTTGCGCAACACTGGCTGCTTCTATACTCGCCGTGTCTTGCACGGCATGTTGAAGTTTCTGGGAGTTTTTTTAGGCATCGCCCTCAAACCTCACCACGAGAGCCCACGCGAGGAGCCAAGAGAGTGGGTAAATCTCCCAGAAACTCGGCTTTACCGTCGACGACAGCACCGCAAGAGTTTTATTTTACCCAAACACCTGCACCCAGGCAGCCAAACTATCCCCTCCGCATCGCGTACCCACAGGCTACGGGCTATCAGAAGGCTACTTTGGATGCCTTCACAATACTCACTCACATCCCTGCACCCTTCCCAACGCGCCAAAGCACACCGCATGCCTTCATTATCGTCTTCCTGGCGCGCATCTCTCAACACAACACTTACAAAGTCTAAACGCCACTTCACAGATGAGACACGACCTGGTGCCTTCAGAAATGTCCCTTTTGGGACATGGTTTAGTGCGCATGGTGGTGATGGGTTGACAGTTGGACTTGACGATCTTAAAGGTCTTTTCCAACCTTAATGATTCTGTGATTCTATGAAATTAAGCATGAGCTTTAGCTCTGTGTTTTGTTATTTGTGTTACAGCTGTGGTAATCTTAAGGAAGAGCTGGCTAACAATCGACATGCTCCCAGCCAATCGGCCCCATTACAGCAGCGCCAGCCTCGGAACGAGCGCTAGGAATAAGGCAAAGCAAGAACCGGCTGGCCCGGGGCTGTTTTCCCGCAGCCATCCACAAGGCAGCAAGCTTTTACTTAGTAGGGAACGCTTTGGGCCTAACCGAACACCAACCAGATCGCGGTTCCTCTCGTCAACAGCCGAACCTACAACACACAACAGAGACACAGATTTAGCTCTCTGTGCTCCATGAGACCGTATACACCTTCCTCTCAGAACTCACGTCAAGCCTTCCCCGTCACCCGCAACACGTTGGTGACACATACAAATTCCCTCTTCCCACCCTGAGCTGGAAATGAGCATTCAGCGTGCTGTTTCTCAGGAAGAGCCTGGGACGTGGCTTACCCCGGGCAGGCGCAGAAGGCATTCGAGGCCTTTCGTTCTCACCTTGGACCGGGACAGAAAAACGTTCAGGGAAGTTCGTATCTGTAACGACACAGGAAAGTCAGCTCTCGCCTTCTCCCCCTTCCGGTTTCATGCAATGAGTAACCAATCCAGGGTCCCCAGAAGGACCTGCACCGCCAGCCGCCTGTCACAGCGACCCTGCCGCAAGGCTGCGATATGACATCGCATCCGTGTTCCCCTTTTCAGGGTTCGACAGACTGAAGTTTCTCCTTACAACTGCTCAAGCCGGATCTGCACGCAGAATCAGCAGAGCACAAGGTGGCGAGGACATGGCAAAATCCATTTTTACACACTGAGGTTGCGTGCAAAAACAGGGAGAAGGAAGCTCTGAACACCACGAGCACACAGACAGAGCTCTGCGTAGTCACCTATACAAGCTGTGCTCCAGGATAAAAATCAGCATTTCACAGACTGTTCCCCGCAGCAAGAGGGATCCCAGCTAACCCCCTCCATGCTGCCGTTTGCCCAGGACACAACTGCACCCTCAATACCTACTTTTCTTACGCGTTTCTCCACCTAAAGCCAGCTCGACAGGCCTCAGGTCCAGCAGCTGTGGCGGCGCCAGCAGGCATTCGCACTCCTCGACCAGCATGGCCGCAAGGTCATCCTGCCCAGTGTCCCGCAGGATGGAGAGGAATATAGGAAAAGCCTGTTTCCCTCTAGTCTCCAGGTCGATGACCAGCTGCCGGGCTTGCTCTCCTCGGCTGCCAGCGCTCTGCAGAGGAAAGCCCAGGACACGATGTGTGTTTACCCCGAGCCAAGGCACACTGCCCGGCCGGCCCTTCCAACCAGCACCCAGAGAGGGGAGACGCGGGGATGCGCACCCACGTGGGGTGAATGAGACCGAGACCCAGCAGACACGGTCGCAGAGACCCTCAGCAACCCCCCAAGCCCCCCAGCCCCGCCGCCTCCACTGGGACAGGCAGCTGCAGCCTGCCTCAGGGCGTGGAGGGAGAAGGAGGAAGGAGCAGTCACGGCTGTCCTCAGGGGACAAACAGGCACTCCAGGCTGTCACCAGACAAGGCAAGACACCCCCAGACCCATACCCAGTAACAGAGAGGGGACACAGGGGCACCTCGAGTCTGTCAGCAGGTTGGGATGGGGACCAAGGGAGAAACCCCTACACCTGGCATGGCTGGGGCAGGGGCAAGAAGGGACAAGTTGGGGGGGGCCTCACACCTCTCATCTGCAGGGC